GCCGGGCCGGGCCGGGCCGGGAGGATGAGCGCGGAGTGCAGCAGCTACGTGAGCGCGGAGCAGGTGGCAGTGAGCGGGTTCCGCTGCCCGCGGGCGGGCGGCGACGCGGGCGCCGTGTACTGCTGCGGCTTCCAGGACGTGAAGTACTGCTGCGATGACCCGCACGGCTTCTTCCCCTACGAGCACAGCTACATGTGGTGGCTCAGGTAGGGTCTGCTCCTCCCTCCCGCCGCTCCGGGACTCGCAGCGGCCCCCTGGCTCCGCAGCTTTTGGAAAGTTCAGGATGCCCCTGGTGCCAGCTTGGCACAAGGCGGGAGCTGGCAGAGCCGGGGGTAGCCCCAGGCTCATGTTTGAACCCGCCGGCTCTGCGGACCCTTGGGGGGACGAGGGTCCCTCCGCGATGGGCCGCGTGAAAGGGGGCTGGCAGGGGAGTGCAGCGGGAGGGAGCTGGGGCAGGGCACAGAGAGAGAAACTGTGGGAATCCTAGCAGAGACCCATCTTGTTCCTTTGAGAGAAGGAACCTGGTCTTTTGTGCAGTCAAAAAAAGCAAAGGGCAGAGGTCTCGGCTGCCCAAATCCTGGGGACTTAAATGGCCTTGCTCCAGCAGACAGCTTGGCCCTAAATCAGGAGGAAACCCCTGCTCTCCGCTCCTCAGGTATTGGGCGCTATGGCACAGCTGCAGTTTTCCCAGACGGGAGGGACTGGTTGGGACGCCGGCTGTGATTTTTAGCATCTGTTCTTTGATTTACCAGACGGTCAGCCTTGAACAAAGGGCCGCTATCTCTTGAGAATATGCTGGCCTGGAGCCGTGGCCAAAAACTGGGGAGCAAAGAGGCTGTTTTCAAGAAAACAAAATATTTCAATAAAACTTGATTCCTCCTTCCAGTCCTTGCCTTCAGACTGCGAGGTGCTAGATACCAGCATTGAAAGAAGAACTGTTGCAGCCAGAGGGGCTACCTTGAGGACTGCCATGTGACGTGGCCACACCAGAGGTGCACAATACATCGGTCCCATATTGGATTGGCACCGATATAAGGAAAATTGAGGGTATTGGCTTTTTTGGCTGAAATGGCTGATAATGTGGCCAATAAATGCTGCGTGTGCGTGCTCAACTGCAGCGCAGCACGCAGACTGCCAGAAATGCAGCCTGGCGGCTTGGAGAGGAGCCGGGTCCAGCTGGTAAGTCTGTTGTGGGGGAAGAGGTGCGGGGAGGAAAGGGCATGGGGGGCAGATCAAGGCCCCTACGGTGAGGGAGGGAGTGGGGTTGGAGCAGGGGCATGGGACAGACCTGCAGCTTGTCTAGTGGGTGCGGGGTGTGGGGGGGAGGGCATCTCCCATCATTACACACACCCCAAGAGGGCAGATCTGCATGTAGGGCAAGGGCGGGCTGCTGCTGCAGGTTGGGGCCAGGGCTACACCAGGTTCCTCCTGATGGGGGAGCTGGGCAGGCTGTGCTTGGGGTGGGTGATGGCGGTGCTGGGAGGAGGCACTGGGGGGGCTAGAGCCACCCCAAAATTTGCTGTAGCCCTGCTCCCAGCGCCGCTAGTGCCCACCTCAGGCTCAGCCTGACCCAGCCCCACGCTAGGGAGAGCCCTGTGCAGCCCTGGTCCCAGCCCGCAGTAGCAGCCCAGTCCCAGCCCATGCGGAGATTTGGGGGGCACACGCCCCCCATGCCCTCCCCGGGTTTGCATAGCACTAGGAGCTGCCCCCCCCCAACCAGACAAGCCACAGTTCTGTCCTGTGCCCTTCCCTGCCCTGTCCCAGCCCCACTCCCTCCTTCATCCCAGGGGCCTTGATCTGCCCCCCACCATGTCTCTTCCCTCCCCCCTTACTCTCCCTCACAACAGACATACCAGCCAGTGGCCGCTCTCCATGTTGTGGGGCTGCACGTTGGCAATCGGAGCAGTATCGGCCAATATGGCTTGTTTAAAAATTGGCCATCGGTATCAGCCTGAAAAATCTCTGTTGGTGCACCCCTAGGCCACACAGTAAAGCCCTGTGGTGGGTGTGTGCAGGATAGAGAAAAGGGCTGTCAGTAATAAAAGTCATGATCCATTTTTTGGAAAACCACTGGGCATCCAGCAAACTTTACCTGAAGTTCTAGGCTTTTAACTGGGCTATTTTTCCAATGATTTTTATTGGCTTTTTTAATATGTAACTTCTTTTTCAAAAGTCTGAACTCTCGGAAATGCTTTGTTTGCAGCATTGCCATGGTGTGTTCTGAACCAATTAGCCTCACAGCCTCAGCTGGTTAGCTTGGGTCTTTTATGAGATGGGAGACATCAGGGGGTTACTTAAATACAGTACCTTGACAGTACTTCAGTCAGGGCTGTTTGGATTCATGCACAGTTAAGAAATAGCTTGACTTTAGCAAGGCTTTTGATACCGTCTCCCACAGCATTCTTGCAAGCAAGGTGAGGAAGAATGGGTTGGATGAATGGGCTGTAAGGTGGATAGAAAGCTGGCTGGATTGGCGGGCTCAATGGGTAGCAATCAATGGCTCAACGTGTAGCTGGCAGCCAGCATCAAGTGGAGTCCCAGGGGCTGGGCCTGGGGCTGGTTTTGTTCAATATCTTCATTAACAATCTGGAAGGTGGCATAGAGTGCAGCCTCAGCAAGTTCGCGGATGACACCAAGCTGGGGGGAGTCGTAGATGCAATGGAGGGTAGGCCTAGGATTCAGAGTGACCTAGACAAATTGGGGGATTGCACCAAAATAAATCTCACGGGTTTCAATAAGGACAAGTGCAAAGTCCTGCACTTAGGATGGAAGAATCCCATGCACCAGTACAGCCTGGGGGCTGATTGGCTGGGCAGCAGCTCTGCAGAAGAGGATCTGGGGGTGACAGTAGACAATAAGCTGAATATGAACCAGCAGTGTGCACTTGTTGCCAAGTAGGCTAATGGCATCCTGGGCTGCATTAGTAGGAACACTGCCAGCAGATCAAGGGAAGTGATTATTCCTCTCTAGTTTTCACTGGTGAGGCACATCTGGAGAATGGTGTCCAGTTTTGGGTCCCCCACTATACAAGGGATGTGGACAAGTTGGAGAGAGTCCAGCAGAGCAATGAAAATGGTTCGGGGGCTGGGGCACATGACATATGAGGAGAGGCTTAAGGAACTGGGTTTCTGCAGAAAAGAAGACTGAGAGGGGATTTGATATAAGCAGATCCCTTCCTGGTTCAAGTTAAATCACATTCCCCCAGCATCCCAGCATGCTTTGCAGCCCTGAGCTGTGCTATACCATCTGCTCCAGAGAGCAAGGCTAGCCCCACCCATTTGCTCCTGAGCTGGAGCAGTGAGGGCTGGCTCCCTGGCCCTTGCCCCCAGGCAAATCCTGGCTGGGGTCTGGGGCCAGGGAGGGGGGTTAAACTCACCTTTCTCGGAATACAGAGCTGTCCTGCCCTGCTGGCTTACTTAGTGCTGGCTGCAACTGTGGACTACAAATCCCAGAAGCACCTGGAAGAGGAAGTGATGAGTAACCCTGCAGAGTCCTGCAGCTGTGATTGTGGATTGCAATTCCCAGAGACCTTGGGGGCAGCAGAAAGAGGAAGGAAACACACAGCCCGTGCTGGCCTTGTGCCAGAGAGCTGTGCTCCAGCACCCCCCAGCTTCTGGCCTGAGCCACTGCAGACATGTGGCTGCATTGCCTGAACCAAAAGTGAATGTCTGTTCATTTGCTTATTGGTTCAATCTTTGCAGCTTGGACTAACCTGCAAAGACTGAATCAATTCAGCCTCCAGCTTTTTGACTCTCTGTACTTACCCCTGGAGATAGTGAATGCACATACTGCAAGGTGTCGTGGGTGAGAATACCTGAGTTCTCACCCCAGCAACCATTGCACTGAGCCTACGTGCACACACCTCCTGCCCATATGCGGCAGCATAAAAGCCACAGTATTTCTTCCTCTTGGCACAAATGGCAAGTAAGGAGAATGGCTCTGAGTTAGCATATACTGATTGTGATGCATGCAGCTGCAGCCAGCCCCTTGAACTTTTATTTTGCACTGTTGAAAATATCTTTTGAAGTATTTTATTGTTTGCCACTGTTCAATACAGTCTTCATTTGTGAAAAATCATGGTTTATTCACTTGGTCTGACAAAGGAAAGGCTACGTCCCAAATTGTGTACCCAGTAAATTATGGTTAGCAATTCAGCTAAAATGTGTGTGCAGCCAGGTCAAGAGCAATTAATTCGTAAAACTTTAGGCATTAACAGCCCACTATGACAGGCAGTCAGATATGTTCCTGGGGGTCCCCTTAGCTGTACAGCCCTTTGATATACTTTTGTAACTGCCCTTGGGTCTCCCTCTTCAAAGCCGGCAGCTGTTCTTTCCTCTCTCTGCTGCCATGAATTATCTTTTCCATCACTTCACCAATACAAACACCACCACATGCAGGAACACTAGAGGAATATTTGAGGTCCAGCCTCCTCATGAGACATCTCCAGCTTCTGTTAAAATTTACCACACTCAACAATCATTCTTCACTTGCTCTGGCAATCCTTCAGTCTTCCCTTACTCCCACTGAGCAAGGATTAATGAGCCAGGGTTGCAAGAGGATTGACTTGAGTGTACCAGAATCACTGTTGGCATTGCAAAACCAATGATGTGAATGTGCTGTCCTGGGAACAGTGTCCTTGTTGACAGTTTGTCAACATGGCCTGAATGCCTAAAGATGTAAGTAGCAAGCAGTTTCCTGACAATCAATGTGAAACATCCTCAACGATCAATCAGCATGCGGATTATGGAGGAAAAGCACCTGTTTCTGTGTATGCACTCAGCAGCAAGGAGGGGAAAACAGAACGGGTATGTTGCCCGGCTGTTATTCCACTGAAGTGCTGGCAGCCCATTGCTTCACATCTCTTTGTTACTTCCAGTGCCCAGTCCTATGAAGCGGTCATGTTTAATGTCTTTGTCTACCTGGATAACAACTACACTTGCTCTGCACCTGCTGTGAATTTTCCCATGCAAAACTGATTGTCCACTGACTGATAGTAACCTGGGAATGCAAACTTCTTGCATGCCATTGCCACCCATTTCTCCACTGTCCAAGCAAGCTCTGACAACTCCAGGAATATGACTTTAGGTCATGTTTGCATCACGCTCTGATCGCAACACTCAGTGCTTGTTTTGCAGAGCTAAAAACACTGCTTCTTTGTGCAAGAGGGCAGTGAATATCTGCGGCACCTGGGCTGCACCACTGGTGT